ATATATATATATATATATATATATATATTGCTGGGGTGTTTTTCTTTTTTTGTTTCCCTTGAAAAAAGTTTGACGTTATTTATCTCTCTCTTTATATATATTTTTTTATTTCTTTCTTGTTTTTAGCTATGAGCGATACGACTTGCATCGTTGGTGATTCCATATGTGGTTCTGTCGGTATTTCAAAGTTCTCTAGCTTAAGTGATGATGTTTTTCTCAGAGGTTACAGTACTTATGAAGGCGAACATCCAAATGAAGCTGCAGCCGCACAGGAGGGAGGAGGCGAAATTGTGGCTGCCATTAATGGACTGATAGAAGTTACTGATCGTGTTGTTTCTGTAAAAGGAATGTCATCCCGTTATCATCCTGAAATAGGTGACATTGTAATAGGACGGGTAAAGGAAGTAAGTGGAAATCGTTGGCGTATCGATATTGGAGCTTATCAAGACGCGGTGATGTTGTTATCTAATGTGACTGAACCTGGAGGTATACTCAGAAGAAGGGGAAGAAGTGACGAACTCAGTATGAGACAAATAATTGACCAGGATGAACTAGTTGTGGCGGAAGTGCAGCGTATCTCTTCGGATGGTGTTGCGTCCCTCCATACTCGATCTGGTGAAAAGTATGGGAAGTTATCTGTTCTTGGTACGTTTGTTTCGGTCTCTCCAGCTCTTGTAAAACGTGCCAAACATCAGTTTTTTACTGTTGATTCATTTCCTGTAAATGTTATTCTGGGTATAAACGGAATGATATGGATCTCCCCAGATGCTCAACCAAAAGATTCAAATGATGTTTCTCTCCCTCTAAATGAAGAAGATGATGTTGATGTGAGACGCGGCATCGCACGTGTTGCGAACTGTATTAGGATTATGAATGGCACCCGACTTCCAATTTTTGCTAAATCCATTAATGCTGCGGTTAAATCCTCTATTGATTTGGGACTTAGTCCTTTTGAAATTCTACAACAGTCAAATTACGATCAGATAACAACAGCCGTCTTGGAAAATATAACAACGCGAAAACACTTACTGTAATAGGAGCTTGTGTTTTTTTATTTTGTTTTTGTTTTTTTCGTAATCTTATTTTATGTTTTTTTTTTTTTTTTTTTTTTTTTTTATATGTGCCTTTTTTATTATTATCTTTCTTATTATATGTCTGGAACTTTCAGATAAAATGTCTTTTTTTTTATTTTATTTTATTTTTCTGTTTTGAAAAAACCATTACCGAGAAAATGAGGATGAATGCTAGACGTGGTCGTTATGCGTTGATTTTACTTGGTGTGGTTTATTTGATAGTTATTGCTGCATTGCTGTATGACGACACAGCACAAAAAAAGGCGATTACGTTACCTCATGGCGAATCACGTATCGAATCAGCGTATCGTAATACACGAAACCTTATCATGATTCCTGGTCATGGGGTTCTTAACTCCTTGAGTGCATCTGATTGGAGAAGTGGGAATAATTGGGGCTTGGAGCCACATCAGCTTCGTGATGGTGTTTCTTTGCCTCTTTGTTTTGCTTCTCATATCCGGCGTGGTTTACAGATTCTTAAAGAAGACATTAACTCTTCGCTTCTTATTTTTTCAGGTGGTCAGACACGCGATGGAACTGGACCACGAAGTGAAGGACTTAGTTACTATCTTGTGGCAGAGGAGACAGAACTGTTTGGTCTTTTTGATTCAGTAGTTGAAAGAAAATATGTTTTGCAAAAACGAATTTTTGCGGAAGAATTTGCTAGGGATTCTTATGAAAATTTGTTATTTAGTATTGCGCGGTATTACGAAATAACGGGTCAATTTCCTGAGAGAATAATTGTCGTGGGTTGGAAACACAAAGAAAAACGATTTTCTACTTATCATAGAGAGGCACTGCGTTTTCCACGAAGCAGGTTTACGTATATTGGTCTTGATTTTGAAGATGCTGGTGTATTTGTGAACGATTTGGAACCATATCGAAAAGCTTTGCCTTACAGTGATTCCAATGCTCTAGCTCTTGTCACTGAGGATATGTACCTTTGTAACTCCGGAAAACGGACTAGAGCCAAGAGAAATCCTCAATTTCGGGTTCCCCCCTACGAATTGAGCTGTCCCCCTCTTCGTCCTTTGTTGCGTTACTGTGGGCCCCAACTGATTGATAAGAAAATGGTTCCGTGGGGATAATTGGAATATTCTTCGTCTTTCTTTTGTCTTTGAAATTGGCTCTGTATCTTTCTTAAATTTATGACACCTGAAAAAATTCCCAGAATTTTTTTTTCTGGGGGTAAGACTGGGTGGGGGGGGGTGGGATTGCTTTTCTCCCTTGTTTTTGTTTTTATTTCTCTCTCTCTCTCTCCATATATATATATATATATATATATATATATATATATATCTTAATATGTTTGTATGTGTCTCTTTGTTGTAATTTCCTTTTGTTCCGTTTTTTTTTTTTTTTTTACGTTTGAAAGGCGTGGTTCAATGGCTTCACCCAGAAATATTCTTCAAAGTAAGGGTATAAATATTGAAGAGGCATTGGAAGCGGATGATTATTTTGAAGTTGATGCCACAGAAGAATTTGAGCGACTAGTTGAGAGTAGTAAAAGGACGAAACGAAATGTGACAGAAATATCTAATGTCATTAATACTATTATTTTTCAAGAGAAGGATGAGGATACAGAAAGTGATATTAAATCTATTATCGAATATATTACAGGTTCAGAATCACATTGGTGCAGTAATGGTCCCGAAGTTAATGAGTTCAGAATGTTTCTCGCTGCGTCATTTCAACATGAGTGGGATGAGTTTCAAAAAGTAAATCCTTCCGTTTCTCTTTCACGTGCCATGCGTACTCTACCACAATGTTTTTCTCTTCCATCCTTGCAAAAAACACAATTGGAAATGTTAACACGTCTGAGTCCTAGAAAATTAGGTCAAAGCTTTGGTATAGTTTTACTTCGTATTTGGTATGTAGATCTCGCTGGATGCACATGTTCTTCATTACGGGAGTTCCCGTTTGATATGAAAGCCTTAGAAGCAATTAGGACAACAATGGAACGCCTATTTTCTGTTACCAACTTTGATAAAAGTAAAAATAGAGGACTTGTTTATATTTTTAGAATACAGGGCCGAAAGGAATATGTGTATGGTGAGGAAATACTAATAAATTTTCGCTACATAAGGGATTGTGTAACGCAGCAGCGCGAAATTAACGTAGTTGTGGAATCCCATAAGGAGACACTATTTACTGATCCTCTATTTGTTCCCTCTTACCCATCAGTTGTAATGATAGATAAGAATGAGTTAAATTTTAACAAGGAAAGTCTTGCTACCGTTAATCATCAATCAGAAATCAGTTTATGGGATCTTAATGACAACCTAATTATAGAATCTATTGATAGTCTTCAGAACCTTGTTTTTTCACAAGAAAGAGCGAAAGAAGAAGGAGTTCGTGAAGGGGATTCTTTATATATATCAATACTTGTAGAAGTTTATTTTGGTGGTAAGTTATGTTGTTTACCTCAAATGACGAAATGGGTATCATGCCGTGATGTGATTGGTTCGAAAGAACTTACTTCTTCTTCTTCTAGTGTTAATTGGAAGGGAGATAATAGGTTGAAATTTGGTCTATTGCTCTCAGATGCCCCACGTGAACTTAAACTATGTATAACTGTTATTGCCACATGTGGTGAAAGAATAAATAGTGTAGTATCCCTTAGCGCTGAAGAAATTCTTCAAATAGCAGAGGAACTTCCTTCTGTAAGAAAAAGTGATGAGTATCATGTGAGTCCCATATTCTTTCTTGGTTCAGCTTCATTGCAGTTTTTTGATTATCTTGCACGTATGAGAATGGGGAGAATAGAACTGAATCTGTGGAATACACGAAATAAGGCGAACCCAATGTCTCCTTCTTTAATGAATTCAGATAAAAATAGTATTTCTCTTTCTTTGGTCTTTCCTACATTTACCCATGTGGTACGTATCCCAAGTGGCAAACCTCCAGTTCAAAAGAGACGTGATTGGGAACAGCAGTTTTTTGATCGTGAATTTCATCTCCCTGATTCCCTACGGAAAAATAAGATTGAACAATTAAAACAAGTCAAAAGAATTCTTAGCAGTGATCCATTGTCGAAACTTACACCAAGTGATGAAGTGCTCCTATGGAAATACCGTGAAGAACTTGTTTTACACCCTAAAGCCCTTGCAAAGTTTCTTCTTGCTGTTAATTGGCTTCAACCTTATGCTGTTTATGAAGCATATTCTCTTATGGAGAGATGGGCTCTACTTCAACCAATTGACGCTCTTGAACTTTTAGACGCACGCTATGTTGATATTAAGGTGAGAGAGCATGCTGTAAAGTTTCTTGATAATATGAGTGATTATGAGCTTAAGGGTTGTGCTTTACAATTAGTACAAGTTCTAAAACACGAACCTTATCATTATTCAGCTTTATCAAGATTTTTACTTCGAAGATCATTACGTTCACCTCATGTAATTGGACACTACGTCTTTTGGTACCTTGTTTCAGAAATGGGTAACTCAAGTATCTGTGAACGTCATGGGCTTCTCTTAGAGGAGCTAATCAGACGCATGCCAGAACGAAGAAGTTATTTACGTCAATTGTATGTTACAGATCTGTTGTTTGAAACTGCCTTACGAGTCAAGGATGCCCAGAAAAGGAATCGTGTTGACTGTCTTAGAGAACACCTCAAAAGCTTACGCTTACCATCTCGTTTTACTCTCGCATTACATCCGTCAATGGAGTGTAGTGGACTTGAAATTGGTAAATGTAATGTCATGGACTCCAAGAAATTTCCCCTTTGGCTTGTATTTCGTAATTATCAAAAGGAAGAAGAACCTTTTTATGCTATTTTTAAGGTTGGAGATGATTTAAGACAAGATTTATTGACTCTTCAGCTTTTGGAACTGATGGATTCTCTCTGGAAGTCCTGTGGGTTACATCTCCACATTATTCCTTATGGTTGTGTTGCTACTGGTGCAGGTGTTGGGATGATAGAAGTCGTACTTAATAGCGATACTATAGCTAACATAACTCGCAAAGATGGTGGTGCACAAGCCGCCTTTAGTGAAGAGCCATTAATGAATTGGCTAAGACATTTTAACCGAGAAAGGCAGGATGTAGAAAGATGTCTATGGAATTTTCTTTATAGTGTTGCAGGATACACTGTGGCTACCTACGTCTTGGGTATTGGTGACCGTCACAATGACAATATTATGCTTAGACAAGATGGAACTCTTTTCCATATCGATTTTGGTCATTTCTTGGGAAATTTTAAAACTAAGTTTGGTATCAAAAGAGAAACTGCCCCTTTTATTTTTACTCCCATGTACGCTTACATGTTGGGAGGCCAAAGTAGTCCTATTTATTTGTATTTTGTAGATGTGGCATGTCAAGCATTTAACGTAGTAAGGCGTTTTAGTAGTACATTGATGATTCATTTTTTATTGATGCTGTCAACGGGAATACCAGAGTTACAAAAAGTTGAAGATATAGAGTGGTTGAGAAGTGTTTTGCTTATCGGTCGCACAGATGAGGAAGCCAAGGAACACTATAAAATTCAAATATCTCTTGCTATCGCGAATATCAGAACCCTTTTTAACGATTATATTCATATCATGACACATTAAGAGGATTGTATTTCTTCTTTATTTTCTTTACTGCAGATGTGTGATATATATATATATAATTTTTTTTTTCTCTCTGCAGAGTGGTGTAGATGCGGCAGAAGCTAAGTGTGTTTTTTATTCCACTGACAAACTGTTGTTCATACTTTCTGGTAACTGTCAGTGAATTTGATTAACCCAATGAGGGAGATGCTTTCCCGGCTTCCCAAACATGAATGTGCCAAGTTAAGAACTGTCTCGGTTTCACTTTATCTGTATTTTATGGTTATCCTTGCATTGTTTTTTTTTTTTTTTTTTTTTTTTTTTTTTTTTTTTTTTTTTTTTTTTTTTTTTTTTTTTAAACCTTCATTGATTGCTGAGGTAGTGAGGATTCTGGAAAGCTGATATGATATTCAGACCACATTGTATTGTGTTTTAAAGCAAATGTGGTATATTGGTGACAAATGAAGAACAACGTAAGAATTGTTTTTCTTTTCTTTTTTTTTTTGTTCGACTTATAAAGAGTCTTATCAAGAGAATGAGAGATACAATCTGATATTATTAAAAAGAAAAAAAAAAACAGTGTTTTTCTTTTCTTCTTGTTGTGAAACGTGTTGTTCCTTTTTCTTGAAGGTGACTTTTCTTGGGTTGGATTATGTCGTGGTGGTGTTCCCTCTCGAAGCAGTTGCTGTTGCAAGTTCGCAAGCATCCTGCTGTAGAGAACTATGCTCGTCAAGGAGTAAATTACGTCTGGAATCATCCGTCAAGAAAAAAGGCAGCCACTACATTCTCTAACTCATGGGAGGAGATGCGGAGGCGAATGGAGTCTTCCATTCCAGTATCCAAACAGTCAGGATTTAAGAAAACCAAGGATAGCCCTGGATATACAGCATATATTATTAATATGTGGAACATGTATAAGGGGCGCGTGTTTTCTTTTATTGCTGTGAACTTTATGGGTATTATTTTTTTCTTTCAGTTCGGATCTGCTCTCTGGCCGATGGCAAAACAAATGGTGGCTGGTTTTTTTGATAGGAAGGAAATAAAAATAGCTAGAGATGATAACCCTGTACGTACCATCAAGACACGTCCTGTGAATACTGAGAACCCAGAGAGGGCTGATAAGCAATCTGGTTCGCATCATGAGGACGAATATGAAGGGAAAGTTAAATCTTTAAAGGAATCTCCGTTTAACTTTTTAGACAGCTCTGATGAACACGTACAAAAGTCTATGAAGCAGATGGAGCGTAATATGTTTGGCAACATGGAAAAAGTGGATTTTTCAACCTCTTTTAAATTTCGTATGAGTGAGGATGAGGAGTTCAGGTCATCAGTAGGGAGTAACGTAATAAATGGTTCTTCTCCCTAGTGGTTATTGCGATGGACAGAAAAACCAAATTATTAATATTATTATTATTATTATTATTATTATTATTATTATTATTATTTCATCCACATCTATTTCTTAAATCATACCAAATTGAATGCGGTAGTGCTGGAGCATCCACTAGATTCACATAAAATTTTTTTTTTTTCAATTTTTCCATTTTCCTATAGGAATATTCATATCTTTTTGTTTTCTTCTTGTAGAAGGTTTGCTCTGATGTCTGTTCATTTACATCTCGATGCTGGAACCTTGCAAGCGGTTCTACAAACCGTATGTGTCACAGGGGAGCCAGCCATAATTGCACCATCAGCGTTTGTGGGAGAACTTGACGCTGTAGTCGATGAGGTTAAGAAGTATGGATTGAAACTGGCAAGCATTCCTAGTGGTGGAATAACTATTCTACCACCTATTCCTGTAAGTGATATTGAGCTTTTTGATTTTTGTGCTGAATATTGCAAGGCTCGTACTCAGGAAGAACGTCTGACTGTGCGTCATCAAATAAGCAATTACGCTTTCTCAACAGGTAAACCTGCCTTTACTATGCCTTGTCGACCACTCTATAATCCTGCTGATTACGTTTTGCGTATAGTTCATCTCTGTGCAGAGCTTGCTTCCAGTACAGATGAAGAATATCGAAGAGCCTACGCCACTGCACCACTTCTCCATATTAACCCCGTTCAGAATATTTGTGAAAAATTGCGTAGCATGTTTCAATCTGGTTCTTTTCATACCCAAGCCTGGGCTGTTGAAGAGGAGTCAGAGAGCAAAACTTCAGATGAAGTGAAAGGTGAAGTCCCTTTCATTTCTGATGTCTTTGACCAGGATAACAGTGAGACTGGATCTGAGGTTGTAGATGGTATAGATGATGATCCGACAGGACAGGAGATTGTCGATAACACAACAGGGCCAGTGGGTGAGTATTTATCAGAGAAAGATTTTAAATTGATAACTGAAAGTGGCGTTTTTTATGACGACTCAGGAGAGCGTGTACAGGCTATATATGTGCGGGGTGGTATTAAAAAAGAGATTTGTCATCAAGCATCTGTTGCATTAGAAGCCGCTGCGACAACTAGAAATCTTCGAAAGGCAACAAATGGTGGTAAAACCAATCCAGAAACAGGTATTGTTGGTTATTATGATTATCTTAATAACCCCACTCAACAAAAATGTCGGGAAACAGAGTTTACAAGAAAAAATTGGAGTACTATTGCTGCTCCTTGTGAAGCATTTCTTTTAGCATTAAATAAACTTTATAGTGAATGTGCACCAAAGCATTACAAACTTCAGCGCATCGCTATTCCTCAAAGTTGTCAATTGTTTAATACGGTATTTAGTACCATTACAGTAAATCGAAATTTTCGAACAGCTGTGCATACAGATAAGGGAGATTTTCGAAGTGGTTTAGGTGCCCTTTGTGTAATTGATGGTATATTTGAGGGATGTCATTTAGCCATTAAAAAACTTGGTAAAGCTTTTCGTCTTGAAAAAGGTGATGTATTATTTTTTGATACATCCTTGGAACATGGAAATACTGAGGTACATAGTTTTGATTATTGCTGGAAACGTATAAGTGTTGTTTGTTATCTGCGCACTGGTTTGATGTCCCAACCGTGCGAGATGGAGCGTCGACGACGGCTTAATAAACATCTTTCAAAGCAACTTCTTCTTGAAAAAAGTAGACAAAACATTGTAAATTTAAATGGGGTGGACCCAAAACTTCCTCCCCTATATGTACCCTGGAAACTGATGAGTGTATTATCCCCTGTTCAACAAGCAGCCCTTGGATTTGTAGTAGATCGGTTGAGTAGAGGTAATGGTTGTGTTATTGCATTAACCATGGGACTAGGGAAAACTCTAGTTTCTTTGGCCTTATGTTTTTCACATCTTTATAATCCCAATCCACGTGACATACTTATTATAGCACCCAAGACAGTTCTTACTCATTGGATAGGTGAAAAACAGAAGTGGGAACAGTACGGTCTTGTCTTCCCTGAATTTGTTGTATCAGATGGGACAGACTCCGCATCTTTTGAGGTTGCACTTAAACGATATAAACAACAATTATCTGGAGAGATGCCGAGAACAAGTCATATTTTTGTTATTAATCCTGAATACGTAAAAACAGTTTTAAGGAAACTAACAGGATTTCGTCCGAGCCTTTTGATATTTGATGAGGGTCATCGCGTTTCATCAAAAGGTAATAAATTGAAAGATTCTTTAGAAGGTATGAGGTGTTCAGCGCGTGTTATTCTCTCTGGTACGCCTGTGCAAAATAATGCTGAAGAATTGTACCGACTTATTGGCTGGATAAACCCTGATGTACATTCTGTATTACCACCACGGGTTTTTACCGAATTAGCTGGGTCTATAAATCGTTACATAAATGGGGATGATTCTGCCTTTAACGCTGCCATTTCTGCACAACGTTATATCCAAGAGTGGATGAGTTCTTATGTTTTTAGCGTCATGAAGACAGATCTTCCACCTCTTCAAGACTACATTATTATATGTGGTTTCTCTGGTGTTCAGAAAAAGATGTTTGAAGATCATTTCAATATTAAAAACATTGATGGATGTGCAGCTCTAAAAGCTTCTGAACATCGACCATATCACCTTTCTACACATCCTCTTTGTTTTTTGGGTTTTATATCAGGGGTGTACAAATCTCTTAGTGGAACTCATAAAATGTCAATAGAGATGGAAGAAGAAGAAGAAGAGGAAAAGGAAAAGGAAAAGGAAAAGGAGGATAATACTCAACAATACATACTTAACGATGATGATATAGCATTGGTAGATGAGTGTTTATCATTAGTTAACTCTGGATGTTTATCTGAGTTTGTAAGTCTCAGTGGTAAATTAACAGTTCTTATTTCAATTCTACACGTTATACGAGAGAAAAAAGAAAAGGCAATTATCTTTTCTCAATATGTGGGATCACAAGATTTTATCTCACGAACTTTGACATCATTTGACATTGTCTCTTCTACTATTCGTGCAAGGGACTGTCATGATAGGAGACGGAAAACGATAGAGAGATTTAGAGATGATGAAAATATTACTTGTCTTGTTCTATCTACTCAGATTGGTGCTTACGGTCTTGATTTCACCGCTGCTAATCACGTTATTTTGTGGGATAGTTGGTGGAATCCTCAAGTAGAGTCACAAGCCATTGCACGTGCGTATCGGCGTAATCAGACGAAACCAGTCATTGTGTATCGACTTGCATCCGCGTATGAGGACACTATAATTTTAAAAACGCAAGTACGAAAATTGGCGTTGTTTAGGTGTATTATGAACGAGCAGACATCACGAGCGGTACCTCCTGAAGAATTGCTTGACTGCACTGATACTGAAGAAGATGAACAACGACGCTTTTTATGGTCATCACTTAAGACAAGCCGACTTGAAGGTGGTGTAGCAGCTGTGTCCAAAATATTTCGCCACAGTGATACACTTAGGAGCGAATTATGGGCCTGATCTATGTGTAGTCGTTGTAGTAATAGTAGTAGTAGTAGTAGTTGTTGTTGTTATTGTTGTTATTGCTTTCCCTCCCCCTCCCCTTCTCTCTCTTTTGCACTCTATCACATAGGGTGCCATTATTTGCGGCCCCTTTTTTTTCCCCTTGGTGTATCGTTCTGTGCACAGCCAACTCAGTTTCTTTTTTTTTTTTTTCTTTTATGGGGCTTCAATAATCACGTTTTCCCATGACTTGTAGTAACTCTTTTTATTTCTTTGGGTATATCGGTGCTATCTACATACGTAGCGTAGTATTGATCTTGTTTTCTCTTCTGTGTTTTGTGAAACTGTATTTCCTTTCTTGATGAGTTGAGCGGGACATACTTTTGTCGTTGCAATGAACGATACCCGCTTCACTAATGTTGGCGCACAATTTAATGTACCAGCTCTCATCTGTGTTTTAACCTTCTATGAGACTCGTTTGTTTGTCTTGCAAGGACAAACAGCTGCTTTGGAGAACCTGATTTTAACGAATGTCAAGCGGTTGGCTGAAAATGATAATCAGTTGAAGAAGTATATTGATGATGACCCCCTCATAAAAGTGATGAAGGGATTATGGGGGAATTGAATATTTGAAATGATGCGTTTTGCAAGCCATTATAATATACTCGTCCACTAATGCTACTAGGTGCATGAAAGAGTTACGTTTAGAACGTGACAAGAGAAAAACAAAAAAAGAAAAACATACGTTTGACCAGATAGATTTAGTGTTTTTTTTTGTCGTTGAGGGAATTAATAAGCTTCAAACGGTTGATCAAAAGGTATGCATTGAACGTATCGAGCAGGAGAAAAATGTTAGGGGAAAAACTTGCTGAGGCATCTGTAGAAGTCCTCGTCAAAGATTATATCAATGGAAAGACATTAACAGACCACATTACACACACCACATAGAGAATATATCATGAGATACATGGATATATTGGATACGAGTGCAATAAATACTGTGATGAGACAATCGAAAGTACTTGTGAAAATGTTTTGAAGTTTAGACAGCGGCTCGATACAGAAATTGAACAGATATGTCGGGGAGAGAAGAAGTTTTGAAGGGGTCTCCTGAAACCCCTGTCAAGTCAATAAAGGTTGAGACGGTGTAGCAAAAAGATTTTCGTTGTCAAGAAGCAAACACTATAACTCATGTATATTATGTTTCTTTTTTTCTTTTTTTTTTGAATTCCTATTTTTTTTTTTTTCTTTAAATAGTATGAGCTCCTTTGCTGAAGCAAAGGATGTATTTAAAAAAGGACAAAAGATTTCCCTTACCCCAAGGGTGACAGCCCGTCTACTACTAAAGTTAAAAGCTGCAAGAAGGCGTTTGGATAAATTGGCAGCATTACGCGGGGATCCACAACTATCTGCAGACAGACTGCGCTCCTCTCCTCTGTTTAATCATTGGCCTTTGAGTGCCCTCTCCGAAATTCGCCAGAAGATGGTCTTGGAAGTGTATCGCAAAGGTGATGTAATCGTTTACAGTGAGGAGCCTAGTAGAGTTTCATCTCTCTTTTGGATAGTCTCAGGGAAATTAACGGAGGTACTTGGTAAAAGCGAGATGTATTTTATGGAATCTACTGAACCAAACAGCGATTCTACTCCTGTGGAAAAAAATAGCAATTTTTCATTCTTAAGCAAAACTTATCCATTAAACCTCCCTGACAGTCTCATGAGATTCAGTGCTGGTCAGTTTGCCACAGGTGAACGATTGTTTCTCGGTGTGGGATACCGTAGGACTATTCGTTGTGAAAGTGGTGTCATAGTTTTTCAAGTACCTTTTACGGTAGTGAAAGATATACAAAAAAAGTGGGGTGTGCCATTAGAAACAACTTTAATAGCTGCTAAAGAAATTGTTAAACGACAAATGTCTAGAGCGAATGAAAAGCCATCGTTGGAGTCTGCTTTGTTTCATAACCCAGTATTGCGTGGAATGGATACATCTACTCTTGGTATATTGTGGATTCGTTTGTCTCCTCTGGTCATATGTAAAGATGAAACTCTATGTGCAGATGTTTTCACTTCAGATAGGATATATTTTCTTCAATCAGGACGCATGCGTGTTCCAGGGAGAAACAGTGGGAGAGGCCAAGATGTTGTCTCTAGTGGTAGTTCTTTCGGCTTGAACAGTTTTGTGCAATTTGAGGCTCCGTATGATTATGGGGAACAACGCCGTGTCGTCGCTTCAAGGTTCTCCCAGCTGTGGGGAATAACTCTGAGTGCTTTTATGGAAATTGTAAGTGAAAATGAGTGGAAACGATGTGCAGAAATAGCCAAGAAAACAATACAGTTTGGAGTTGATTATAAGGTTTTAAGGAAGTCCCCTGTATTGTCACACTTACCCGAGTCTGCTGCCATTTTGCTTGCAAAACGGATGCAACTGCGTGTTGTGCGACCTGGTGAATGTATTTTAACTGCTGATGAATGTCCATGTGAAGCTATTATCGTCTTGATTGGAGCAACGTATGTTACGAAGAAACGTCCTTTTGCAGAGGGTTCTGCTGATGAGAAGGTAGTAAAAAAAAGTGTTTCCTGTGGTGTTCCTCTTGCCGTCGCGGAATGCGTGTCAGAAAGAAGGATAAAGTATGGACTCTTCGCATCTACTGCTGCAATCATCTTTAGTCTTACGCATAATGCAATTATGGATATTGTGAATGAGTGTAAGGAGGTACGCGACGTAACAGTAATTACGGAGGCAGCTATAACACAGTTAGATGGTCCGAAAGCATATCGCTCTGCAGAACAGATAGTAAACAAGGCTCAGGATGATGCGGCGCAGCGTGTGAAGAGATATGCAAATGAGCAGAATAGTAAAATGGAGTTATTGAATGCTGAAAACAACAAGAGTGACTCTAAAAACGCTGATGTTGATGTTGATCGGATAATCCAGCTGCGCGCCCAAGTGTTGTCAACTCTCAGCACTCAGGTGTGCAGTTTGCGTCCTAGTATGTGGGGAATGGGGAAAATCGGGCTTCAGTATGATGTCGCTTCAAGTTCAGTTATGCGAGATGTACAACACGAAAATTCAAAGAATTCCCGCCGCACAAAGTCTTGTTTTACCATTGATGAGAAAGGCCGCGTTGTTTTTTGCGAGGACGGAGCTGTATCAGTTGGAAACTTAGTCCATACTGAAAAGAAAACCCCTCTGACGAAAATGATGAAATTAAAAGAAGAAACAAAGGAGGGAGAGCAGAAAGGTTATGCTGAAAGTATTGCACCTCCTCAAGTGTTGCTGAAGAGAGATATCGCAAAGAATATTCACCGCACCCCACACTCCTCTGCCCTGCGATGTGTTCCTCATGTGAAGTTCACTGCCGTCACGGCCCGATCTCCGGCGTCTCAAAGAGTAATGGCGCTGCGAGTGGAGGCGGAGAAATTGCAGGATGAGACTGACAAGGTGCTTAGTCTTCCGCTTGGATTTTTTTCGGCCCGTCAACGTGGTAGAGGCCCCCCATATGCTTCTATGTAAGAAAACAAAAAAAAAAAAAAAATAAACAAGAAGAATAATACAAAACAAAAACAGGAATAGCGATTCTTCATTAGATGTTATTGGCTTCTTGTGTGCTTTTTTTTTTCTCTGATTTTTTTTTTTTTTCCCCACCGTAACCCTCACCAAATTAACAACAACAAAAAAAAAAAAAAAAACAATGATAAGTTGATTCCCTTCTTATTTCTCTCTTGTAGGAGTGAACTAATGTCAGAGACGCTAATCGTGTACGTCCTAGGCCCATCAGCCTCAGGGAAAACAAGCCTTTTACAGCAACTCTCTCGCATGTGTGAGAGTAAGACGATAAGGTCTCATCCTGTGCATTACCCTTCAACACAAGGACAAGATCTCTACTCGATTGTTGTACATGCACCAAAGCAGAAAAGCATTTCTTGTAGAGTTGAGCTACGTGAACTGGGAGGAGAAATGGTCACAATGTGGGAAAAATTTCTTGAGTTACCGATGAAATCTACTCAAATTGAATGCAGAACAAAATATGCATTGATGTTTGTAGTTGATGCCTTAACCCCTCATTTACTTCCTCAGGCGTCTGTTGTTTTCAGTAAATTAAAAAACTTCGATGGGGTATGTAAAGAATGGCCTGCTATAGTCATGCTCAACAAAGTAGCTGCTAGGAATGCAATAACGGAAAGAGAAGTAGAGTTTTTCTTTTCAGGAGTTGGTTGCGAAAAGGTACAAATTCTTTCGGTTGATTCTTGGAATGGTCTTGGACTTGGGGATGTATTGGAGTGGATCAAGCATGTAGCCTTCTCTTGTTAAGGATATTATGAAAGAGAGAGAAAGGGAGTACTTTATGCTTTTTTTTTTTATGTTATTTTCTTTGTATACTCTCTTTTTTCTTCACTTCTTGAAAAAAGAAAAAGAATCCACTGATAGGGCTTTAAAATCCTATACATCCTCCCTTTCTTTCTTAAGAGTGCTGAAGTGAGGTGAATTTCCAGAGAAACAAAGTAATGGTTTTGTGGTTCACTCATTCTGTCTCTTGTTGGAGCAAAACATACTTGGGTTGAGATAGCGGTGGTAGGGAGAAACTCACATGTTGCGATGTCATCATACTATCTTCTTGGGAAAAGTCAAAAATAGAGGGAACTGCTACTTGTAAGGGTTGTTTCTGTTGTGAGAATGAAAGTGGTGAGAGTCCTATTAGGTTATGTTGTCTCCTTGGAAGATTAGCAACACAAGAAATAATTCTTCCTTACATCTCACATTCAAAGAGGGGTGGGGGAAAAAAAATAATAAAAGGTATTCTCCTATCGAGATCATGTGACTTTACGGAATCCATTTTATTTCGTTACGTGCAAAAGGCGTATTTTTAACTCAGCTACACTTAGAGAAGGGTTTGTCAAGGAGGGGTATGAACTTTTTTTTTGCTACACACACCCTCCTTAAGAGTTTGTAATGTATGTCCACAAAGGAGATGCCCATTTCCTTTTCGTTTCTTCATTTTGTTCTCTTTTAATTAGTCAAAGGTGTACTCCGTGCGACACCAACCATTACGTTTTTTTTTTTTTTTCTCTCCTCGGTGTGAGAATCACGCATGATGGTCTGTTTCTTTGCAAACTGCCTGTTTTTTTTTTTTTTTTTGTTGTTGTTGTTGTTGTTTCTTTTTTTGGTGTGCGTGTGTGTGTGAGTGTTTTCGATTAAATTTCTTGTGGCGAAGTTGCATGAAGGGTTCCAATGAAGGGAAATATTTCTTTGTTTGCCGAGGACTGAGAAACAAATTACAGTCTTGGAATGCTCCCCTTCTACATGGGATGAATGATTAGAAATGGAAGAACGTGAGTTATTGTATTGGTGGATTATGTAGAGTGGATCACCGTCAATTGTAGTGATTTATTCTTCCTTATTTGTGTATTCTCTCTGTGCTTAAGGGTACTGTTTTTTTTTTTTTATTTTTTCCTTTGTTGTTGTTGTTGTTGTTGTTGTTGTTGTTGTTTTTCTTTTTGTTGGAATTTTTGTTCCTCTTCGCTTGGTTTATTCTGATAAGTTACACGTAAAGAAATGTATAAGATAGAAAATCAGTCAGGTCTGTCTTTTCGCCAAGAGATCCTAAGTGAGGTTTGCAGATTTCTGCCTTCACATCCTCTGGCATTTATAATAGCGTCTCCTACTATTAGACAGGTGGTTGAGCGTATCTATTGTGAATCATTGCTTATGAACGCGGTATCCCTAAACAAAACAGGAAAAATCCCTGAGTATGGACAACGAATACCACAAAATGGTGCATGGTGTGGTCAGGTGTCTAGTCTGAGGTGTTCACTATGGTGGATTCGTCGACTAGCGAAATTATATGATGGCAAATTATCGGCACTTTCTTTCGCATGTAGAAGTTCAATAGCTGATCTCACAGAAGTTGAGAACCTGAGTGGTCTTCTCTCATTATTTATGCCGGAAGCTATAATACTAAACAAAACTCTGGTCCCTCTTGGATCTTGTCCTACCCTAGAACATCTTTGGTTACACTCATGTCGTGGTTTTACAAGGGTTGAGCCATTATCTCAGTTACAATCACTTAAGACCCTTAATTTATCCAATACTGGAGTAACAGATGATGGTCTTAGTGCACTTACTGCTTGTCGTTCTCTGGAAGACTTAGATCTTTCCGGTTGCGGTTTTATATGTGCCCTCCCATTCTTAAAAGACATGAACCGTCTTCGCGTATTAAAGATACGGGACTCTGGAGCTACAGATCGTGCAATGGCTGTTATTGGTACAGTCTCTGAACTATTGCAATTAGACATTTCTGGGTGTATACTCGTGACCTCTTTAAATCCCTTACGTAAACTGAAAAAACTTGAATGGCTCAATGCTACTTGGTGTGGTCTGTGTGATAAAGGTATAGAAGAAATCTCACACTGCGAGGCCCTTGAGTTTTTGAGCATGGCACGTTGCTGGGATATCCGTAATGTAAATATTTTGGGTTTCCTACACAATCTTCGTATACTTGATCTTCATGGAACAAATGTGGATGATGAAGGTATTGCCGGTCTTTCACGATGTGAGTCATTGACTATTCTTTGTCTTAGCGGATGTTTCTCCGTACGTTCTGTAAGTATTCTTGCAAAAATACCAGCTTTAAAGGAGATTGATGTTTCTTATACCGCTGTAACGGATGAAGGTATCTCATCATTTCCGAATTGGGTGTGCATTACAAGGAAGCCTCTCCGTATTCTCTCACGCAACCCCTCCGTGATGTTTGTCGAGTCTAGACGACATTCTTGTCATCGATAAAAGAATAATTTTTCCTTTATTGTTTTCTTTTATTCTGCTTTTCTTTTTCCTTGTGCTTTATATATATATATATATATATATATATATATATTAATTTGTTTCTGTTTCGTTTGCAGTAGTACTACAATATACTTTTTTTTTGCTTCTGTAAACGTTCTGTTCGATGTATATGCCTTTGCATATATTTAGACTATAGGGTTGTGGGGAACAAAAATTATACAAACTTTTATTATGATCTTGTCACTGAATTTTTTCTGTCAACAAAAATTATGTGGATGGAGTATTTCCTTCCCCTGCTTTATATATGTTTTTCTGTGCACTTTTCCCACAACAGGGTGTGCTAGTGGTGCTTTGATATTGAAACGAGTCGATATCCTTCTACGCAAGTTTTTCTCCTATATTGATTCTCTAAAAAGTTCTGTGTTGAGTCGCGTGTTCAGCATTCGTTTGTAACACCAAATTTGTTGTTTGGTGATATTTATTTATTTATTTATTTTTTTTTTTTTTTTTCTTTCTTCCAATGTTAATATTAACAAGGAAGTGCACATGCATCGCAGACTGCGAGTAGTGGCATTCCCCGCAGCCGGGGCGTCGTGCCCGCAGGCTTTGTGTCTGCCCAGGCGATTCTTCAACATGAACCGCAGCGTCCAAACACGTCTGGAGGCGGAAAATCAGGCGGCTTCACAGCAGCGTACGGACTACGACTTTGACAAGGAGCAGTGGTCCAAGCAGATGCGCTTTGCATCCATGGATTGTATAATGGATCCAGACATCACCCCAATTCGTTATACTTCAATAGGTGGACTCAAGAAGGCGTTTAGACGATTTATGACAATGCGTAAATTAGTTGAACGACGCCCTGATTTTGATGTAGAGGAGCTCAAGAAATTATTTATTCGGTTTAAAACGATATCACATTCCCGAAATCCAGATGATATAAAAACACTACAGCGTGTTACTACTCATGGAGAGGCAAGTCGGATTTCCAAAGAGATAAAATTTAAAATGAATGAGGAATTTGCCAAAAAAAGTTGGAAATCTCTAAAGATGAAGGAGGTTTCTAACACCTATCAGATTGAACTGGACTCTTTTCAACTTGTGAATTGCTACCTGGGACAAATGTCACAGGAAGACTGGCTTCAGATCACATACAGGTGTGAATACCGTGATCGATCTAATGAAGGAGAAGATTGGCAGAAAATGTGCGAATACCCCGTTTTTGAGGTTCGACTTAGTGATGGAGTGCGATCCCCTAATACACATCCATTTATAGTTGTAGGTGTAATGAGAAAAGATGGCACACGGTATGGGAAAGATTCACAGGATGCTGCTGCCTTACGCAAACAGTTTGATCGAACCAGCAAGTGGTTTTAAGGAAGAAATACTTTTAGCGAAGATGGGATAAGAGTGTCGAATACCAAAGGAATTCATTTAGAGATACCTACTGGGTGAGCTATGGGCGAGATTAATATGGGAGACAAATGTGTTCTGTTTATGTCTCGCTAATGATACATTGATCACGTTTGGTTTATAAGATTGTACATATAGGGCCTACCTCATCTTTTCTCTTTTTTTTTTTTTTCTTTTACTTGTTACACTGCAGGTATCTCTGAGGAGGTATCCATGGTGTGAATTGTTGTGGATGAATACTTATCACCAAAAAGGTATTAAACCCCGTCTAGTTTTCTATTTGGGAGGCACATGTGTATTGAACCATTATTATTATTTTTTTTTTATCATTATTATTATTATTATTATTATTATTATTATTATTATTATTATTATTATTGCTGTTGTTGTTATTTGGGTTCTTATAATAATTAGGTTTAGACGTAGTTTGAAGGTAACCATGGAGGCGGTTGCTGAGCGTTACTTCAATATTGGTGATATGAAGTCAGCAGCGACTTTTTATGGCAACCTAATGATGCTACATCCACGGTATGTGAAGATGGCTCGTATATGTAGAGTTCTTGCAGATCCCTCAGCGGTGCCGCTACCGCACCGCTATGCAGATGTAGTAGAAGCCCTTTTAGAGCCTTCCATCACGCCGGAAGCCCTCTTTGGTGCGGATACAACTCCTGCAGATGTTAACAAGGCATATCAACGTTGGACACTATTAGTCCATCCTGACAAAAATCCCTACCCAAGGGCTGGTGATGCATTCAATCGACTCGTCTCTTTAAGGACTAATGCATTGGAGTTAGTTAGTGCACGAAAAAAGCGGCCGAACTCTGAACCTATTGGGAGAGAAGATCATGACAGAAGAGGAAATCGTCAGCATAAAAAGGGCGGTTCTCCCGCTGCACCAGGTCGATCAAGTGAAAACAACACGTCTTCCTTAAGAGCTGCTGAGATCGACATGACTATCTCCGAATTAAAAAAGGTTCAGGTGACTCTCAAGTCATTGAAGCGCAAAAACATTGACGATAGTGAGCTCCCAGAACTGAGTGTTTCCCTCCGGGGCGTGCGGGAACGTCGATTCCTCACACATCCCACAAGTCCACTCGCCTCCACCGCCCCAGACGTCCCCACGTGGGACCTCGCCTCCGACGCACGTACCTCTCCATACCCCACCACTACTAATACTACTGCCAATACTGCAACTACTACTAGTACTACTGCACCAACAACAACTACTACTAGTAGTAGTAGCACTACTACCGCCACTCATAGTAACAACCGCGTGGTACCGTCACCGCCACCGTCACCGCCGAATGTGAGCGGCGAAGAGGCGCCATCGCGTGTGTCAACTGCGAAGCCTTCGCGCCAACCTCCTCCACAAACAGGAACTGTTCGTGGGGAGCAAAATACAGACAAGGTGTCTGAAAGGGTGCAGTCACAGCAAAAAGTTGATGTAAAGAAAAAGGCAGGTTCAGCAGGGAAGGAGGGACAAACAATAAAAAATGACGCCAAGCAGCCGCAAGAGGTCACCATAGATAAAAATCGTTCGACTCGTAAGACGGCTACAGACGAGGGCACAAAGGTGGCAACAACAGATGCGCAGAGTAGAAAGAGCGATACCAGACATTCGCAAGAGACTATAGTGGAAAAGAATCGCTCTCATCGCAAGACAGATGGGAGCGAAAACAAAAAAATAATAAGTAAAGATGTGCAGAGCACAAAACGTGAACCGAAAGATTCGCAAGAAACTATAGTGGAAAAGAATCGCTCTCGTCGCAGATCAGGTGCAGGTGAGAATACAAAGAATCAAGCCAAAGAGACTCAAGATGTAGTAGGAGAGAAAAATCGCTCGCGTCGCAAGACAGATGTAAGCGAGAACGCAAAAGTAACCGCTACAAATGCGCAAATCACAAAAGATGAACCCCAAGAACCGCAAGAGGAAATTACCGAAGATGATCACTCGTGTCGCAAGACCGATGCTAATGAGAAGAGAAATTTGTCATCAATGGATGACCAGTGCGTAGATAATGATGTCCAACAGTTGCAATTGGATGTTCCTCTCTCACAAACTGTATCCACAGTTTCAGACGAGGTTTCATTTGTCGATGTGGCGAGAGAAAGTATTAATGGATTGATCCGAGACCTTGAGGAGATCAAGTTAAATCGGGTTCCTTTGAGGTTAAACTGTGACCTTTCATTTGCTGCATATGAGCGGGAAAAGTTACAACGGGAAGCATCTTGTAGCGAGAAAAAGTCATCGCTGTGAATGAACCCTTGACAAGAAAAAATGTTCAAGTGAAGCATGAAATATGCTGCTTTCTGGGAACACTGTGTATGTAGAATAAAATCTTTATTTCTCCTTAAAAGGGTGAGTTATATATATATATATATATATATATATATATATATTATGTTTATTTACTTTTTTTTTTGTATTCTTGTGTTTTAGTTACTTTATCGAATATATTTTTTAGCCTTCTTTTTTCTCCCTTTAATGTAAGGCGAAGAATACCTAGCTATATGGAAGGGAGTTCCAGAGGGTTACTCCCATCAAAACGTCAGAAATTCACAACGCTACCAGCACTGACACCTGCAAGCCGATCTGGCGCTGCAGCCAATGTTTGGAATCAAGAAGCAGATGAGGAGGCAGCTGTAGAGACAGACTATAAAATAGAACGTCACCGCTATGCCAAGTTAGTGCTGCAATACGCTCAACGTTATCAGCAATTTACCTGTGTAGAGCTTTTTGTAGAGACGATGTTGCAAGATCTTACCCCGCAAAGTGGAGTCACACCGCTTATCCGAGCTGTAGCAGCATCCTGGGCAATGAAACTTCTTTGTAATTCAACCAATAGACGAGTTATGGAAGCCTTAGTGGATGCATTGTTTCCTGCTATTTACCGTGACTACAATGAACAGAAGTTAGATTACGCCCCAGCTGCAATACAAACTTTCGTCAATGATCGAAATCTTATTCGAGACAATCCATTTTTCTCTCATTCTACCTATGTACAGGAACTCAACGCGAGTCTCTTAAAGATTGAAGTTCTTTCTAAAGGACTTCATCGTTCACTGTCAACAAACGGAATTTATAAGAAATTTACTATCTTACTTCTTGAGTATATTAATAAAGAGAGAAAAAAGAAAGCCTTTTTGGCGTGGCGTACCTTCACCAAAAGACGTCGTGTAGAGGATATGCTTCACCGTAATGTGATGCAACGCCATAATAAAACTGTGCGAGACTCATGCCTTCAGGCCGCCTTCTTTAAATGGAAGACCGCTGTGGAAACTTCACGTACAGAGTACCTCACGGAGCGACTGCATCAAGCGGCATTTCAATTAGAAGGTGCCAAAAATCAATTTCAGATGCAGTGCTTTCGGGCAGATAAGTGGCAGCTTGGTTATGAACAAGGTCAAGAAGATCTTAATTTAGTTATTGAAGAGCGTGATGCACTACAACAAAAAGTTGAAGAACTCAGTGCAACACTAATTCTAAAAGAGAAAGAGCACCAAGAACGCATGGTGGCCCGTATTCATGAAGTTCTACTTCTCGTTCGAAGGCAACGAGAGACTCTTAAAAGGGTGATTGATTCACGTTTCCGAGCTGAAGACCTTACTGAGACTTGGTTCAATGAGGCACTTGCTGAATCTTCTAAAGAGGCGACAAATGTAGTGAATGGAGGTAATGATAACAGTAGCGGAAGTAGCAGTAGTGGTATTCAAACACAAGGTCATGTATTTCTCTTAAAATGGTGTAATTACATATTTGCAAAAGAGCAAACGAAAAAACCACTTGAAGTTTCAAATTTTGGTTCAGATTTTGCGAATGGTGAAGCATACTCCATTCTGCTTCAATATGTTTTTACAACATGTCAAGCCAAGCCACCGAAGAGTGTAAGCAATTCTACTTCAGAGAGATTGCGATGGGTTTGCAAAGTTGCTGAAAGCACACCACTTGCTATTATCCTGCAACCGGACGATTTTTACCACCAGCGAGAAGACAAAATTGCGGCATCGATTGCGGAAATATTTTCCTATCATGTTAATGAAAAGAGAATGACGTTTGCCAATGAGGCTTGTTCTCTTGTTACCCAAGTGGGGTTAACACCAGAGTCTAGAATGTCTGTTTTTGAGTCTGATGATATTCCACAGGATGAAGATACCCTTAAACAAAAGGTAGGAGAATGGAATGGAGAACTAGAAGAATGGGAACAAGAACTACATAATGGTATTTTATGTGAGAGAAATCTACAGCACTGCAATATCACCGTTACACAAGAGAGTGCCTGTATTGTTCGAGAAAGAAGTAAAGGGAAACCTTTTTACGTTATAACGTCAAAAGCAAGTTTACTATTTCTTAAACTCAATGTAAAAAGTATGGAAGACCTTCGAACCCGGTTTAAATTACCAAATGTTCAAGCATGGAAAACATTTCTACGTGTGGCTCTAAGAAGTATTTTATGGAAATATGTGCACCTCATCACTTGTATTTTTTATCACTTTGCTGGTGTTGACGCCCGGCAAATGAGTGAGGTGCAGTTTTGGCGTTTCGCTGAAGAAACAGAGTTATTAGTTATTCCTTTAACACCCCTAGTGGTGGCGCAAATGTTTGACACGGTCGCATCACCTCAATTGGCAGCAATGCTTCGTGCAAGTGCGAAAGATGAAAAAAGCGCAACGTTGGCAGAGGCAGCACAAGAGGAAATTGATATCCGTTTTGTCAAACCTGCTCAATTCACAGAAATTCTTGTGCGAATGGCAGTGACACGTTTCTCCGGTGGATTGCTAGAGGTGACAGAGAGATTTCTTGATTCATTGCAATTTCCATCTATAGTAGATATGCCATCTCCAACCCTTTCCTTCTATGGACCAGAACCACAAAATGTTGTCTCATATTTCCAGTCTGACTTGTCGCGGATATTTTTCTTCTATATGAAACAACAGTTAAGTGGAACCTTGTCGGGGCGATCACGTAAATTTCAAGGATGTGGACGTTTCATGGCACACCTGTATCATACAACCTATTTAAAAATGTTCGCTGATTGTGATTTTCTCATTCTTGATGGTGAACTTGAACAAGTTAATGGACATAGTGGATATCAAAGGAAGTTACACTTTATGGCCGCGGACGAAGTTTTAAAAATGTTGGAAGTTATACAGAAGCGAGTCCCGTCTATTCCACAGGGAGAAATATGTTTTTCACTTTTTTTGGAATCTTTCGGTGTGGCTTGCACATATTGGTGGCCAGATCCAATGGTACCTCTATCACGGAAGCTAGCCGCGTTTCTAGTGGCTTTCATCGAAAAGCTGCGTGTAGTACATGCACGCAGTACACTAGTTTTAGGAGCTCCACCCTTTGTTGATCTTGAGGGTGGTGAACGTGTCGATTTGTCTCGATAGTCTACTGTTGCTTCTTATCCAATTCTTATTTTTCTTATGTATGTGTGATCTAATGATTGGCATGGAGTTGGTAACCGCACACTCCCCACCATCATATTGAAGGTCTCTATGCATCTCTATTATCTTTAAAACGGGAACTCAGCTTTGCAATAATTTTTTTTTTCTCCCCCCTCCTATTTCTATCTCTTTCTCGCTGTATTTAAGGGGACACGAAACTGTTTACCGATAGATGCAGCGGCTAAAGTCTTTCAGTGTATTAGAGAGATGGCTCCTGTATGTTTCCCAGAGGCGTTCGATGGCGGGTCTCTTTGAAGAGGAACATTCTACTGGTACAGGTGAAACAGACGTTGCGGCATTCGCCCGCTCCATGGATTACCTTGAGAAAGGTAATACACGCATTGACAAGAAAGCGTATGGTATTCCTTTTCATGTTAGTGAAGCAGAGGCCGTAGATGCAGTTTGTCGTCATCACGGAACTGCTGTTCATGTTCACAACGTTGAACGATTTCTGATGCCCTTTTGGATTGCCACAACCGCAGCTAGTGGTAAATTTCGCGCAGACGTCCTTCAGAAGGATCCAGCATTTTTGACACAGCAGCATTGTCTTGTTTGGGTAGAAGGGCCAAACTACGAGTTTCACTACCCTTTTGGTGAACATCATGTTTTCAATCAAGTCTCTGCCTCCTACCTTCACCCTCTTTCAATGGTGGAACGGTGTGTAACTGGAACCCATGTTCCTTCAATGTTAGTATCACGTTTCGAATTGCTTAAAGAACTTGAAAGAATGGATAAACCACCTAAAGTTGTGCCTTTTACAATGTCTACATTGACAGCATTTTCTATTTTAGATTCCCGTCTAAGCCGAAAGAAAATTCTCCAGCGAATAGATCAGGAATTAGTGAAGTTTCATGGTTCATTTATAAGAAGTAACATTACTATTACTAGCGTTTTTAAAGAGAGTGTGCGTATTCGACCTGTTTTTTTGCCCTTGTTGAGATTTACAGTCACAACAGGAATGGTCACCACTCCAGTACCTTCGTTTGTCTGTGGTGCAACAGGAAAAGTGGTGGGTCCTGTTTTACATCTTACTAAACGAGCGAAACTTAGCGTAATGGTTCTTAGTGGTGCCTCTGCGATGCTGCTCTCAGCGCCTGTTGTGGGGCCAGGTATTTCTACAGCTATTGCGATTGCCTCATCCGTTGCTTCTGTGTATATACAACGTTATTTGCTGACGGTGCGCTTCTTGAAGGAACAAGCCAGACATATGGCAGAACTCAAAACGACTGGTATGTTGTACTTCTCCTCTGATCAGGAGGGTTACCGCTGGTCTCCAGAGGATGAGGAACGTGAAGAGTACGAATACCGCGAAGAGCTTCGCCAGCGGGCACGACGAAAAGAAACATTCGAGCAACAAGTAAAGGAAGAGGCTGCACGGGACGAGGCCCGGCGTACCCGACATATCGACTCTAAGAATAGACGGCGAACAGATTTAGAGAACGTGGACCCGCTTGGGTACTATAAACTCCTAGGACTGACCGGAAAGGAATTCTCCGCCACGGCGAGAGATATCGCTAAAGCTTTCCGTGAGGCAGCTAGGCAGCACCATCCAGATGTTGTGCACACCGGGGATGATGATGAAGCAAAAAATAAAATGCAAAAAATCATACATGCATACAAAATCCTTCGCGATCCAAAGACAAAAAAAGCATACGACTTGGGTCAGTTGACGAACGAAAAAAACAAGTCTAAGTAGTGTGATTCTGTCTCTGTCAGTGCCTCCGTTTACGTATGTGTGTATATGTGAACCTTTGCACATACTTGAATGTTTTTGGAACAAGAATTTCTCTCTAATGGTGCATTCATTTTCTTTTGTTGGATCTTCAACCCCTCGTACTTTCATTTTTCTTCTTAATCGGTGATTTTTTTTTCCTTGCTTTGTTTTTTTTTCTTCAAAGGCCTCCAAATATGTCTTTTCCACCAGCACCACCAACGGCAGCAATACCAGCTCCACCAACTGCAGGAGTACCAGCACCTCCAACGGCAGCAATACCAGCACCTCCAACGGCAGCAGTACCAGCACCTCCAACTGCAGCAGTACCCCCACCACCACCAACTGCGGCAATACCAGCACCTCCAACGGCAGCAATACCAGCTCCACCAACTGCAGGAGTACCCCCACCACCACCAACGGCAGGAGTACCAGCTCCACCAACTGCAGGAGTACCCCCACCACCACCAACGGCAGCAGTACCACCACCACCAACTGCAGCAATACCAGCTCCACCAACTGCAGCAATACCAGCACCTCCAACGGCAGCAATACCAGCTCCACCAACTGCGGCAGTACCCCCACCACCACCAACTGCGGCAGTACCAGCACCTCCAACTGCAGCAGTACCCCCACCACCACCAACTGCAGGAGTACCCCCAGCACTGTCAACTGCAGCAGTACCAGCTCCACCAACTGCGGCAGTACCCCCACCACCACCAACTGCGGCAGTACCAGCACCTCCAACTGCAGGAGTACCAGCTCCACCAACTGCAGGAGTACCCCCAGCACTGTCAACTGCAGCAGCTCCTCTTGCCCCGGGAACAGTTCCGCTGCCAGCGATGCCTGCGGCTGCAACTGCAACGGGTATGTCTCCACTTTCGAATGCTCCCTTGTTGGGGGCCACTGCGCTTCCTCCGCAGTTGCAGACTGCTTCCTACCCCCCTAATGCTGTTGGTCCTCTTCCCAAGCCACTTATTTCTGAAGAAACGCGACGGCAGTTAGAAGAAGCTGTGCTACAGCAATTTAAAAGTGCAGCCGGTGATCAGTACTTAGACCTAGATGAGGTGGTGAGAGACCATGTTTGCAAGTTATTTTTTTTGAGTAACTATGAGGTGGGGACAATGATGAGCAATATTGTAAAGGGACTTCAGTGCTTGGGACGTTACGATGTTGGTTTACTTCGCAATGATGATAGTACCGCATTTACTGTCATTCAGTCTCCACCATTTAATGAGGCCCTTGTGACGGATGAGTCACAGGAAGTTGAAAGACGACGACAGGCCATACGGGAAGGGCAAAATCGAATAGAGCGGGCAGATAATCGTTCCAAAGCTAGATTTCTAGGTGTGGCTAAAACTGGAGTGGAGACTAAGGAAGGGGCAAATTATGGCTCTTCTCAGCGTGTAGAAAAAAATGTAACAAAGGGGGCAACAAATTTACCAAAATCTTCGTATGAACATATACAAGAGTTGTTACGCGCTCGCCAAATAAAGAAATCAGGCGGAAGACGGAGCGCTTCAGCAAACCCTCATAGTCAGCGACACGCATCGCCAGCGGGGGACGGCTATCTGCTTTGGCGCTACGGCGGTAACTATCCCAAGGAAAACTATTATGAACATTATCGCTTGTATGGGCTGAAGAAGTGAAGCCATAGAGCAGTGCGTTTTTTTTTTTTTTTTTTTTTTTAACCACTGGAGTCAAGTGGTTATTTATAGAGGCACAAAAATAGATCCTGTATTGGTGCAATATTTCAGAAAAGGGGATGTTTTGTCTTTTTTCACGTTGAATTGTTCTTCAACTGAACATCTTTTTTTCTGCTTCTTGTTTTTCCTCTTTCTGTGTTTTGTTTATAATTTTAGGCGAATATATGTGGCGTCACATATTTATTTGGATCCAGATTTTGGGCTTTCTTTTACTGATGTCTTTAATTGGACAGCATTTGTACATTTGGTATGTAGGTGATCTTTATCTATGGGAGCGTAAGGGATATGAAAAGAGCCGAAAATCTTCAATATCATTGTGGGAAAATCGTCTTTATGCACCTACATACATAACAAAGATTGATAATATATACATTATTGTTGACTGTTGGCACCATCGGGTTCTATATAGTGAAAATATTTACGAGCCTGTAGGGGAGTGGCGTGACCTTGTTGCAGATATTCGTATTTGGATACCTCACAGTGTCGCAACCAATGGTGATATTCTTGTAATGGAAAGTTCTGATCATGGAAGCGGTGGAAGGGACCACTCCCTTGTTGTTTTTGGTATTATAAGGGGTTCCCAAGGAAAAATTAAAGGGTTTCGTTTTCTACAAAGAATACGATTATGTCCTGGAAAAAAAGTGTTTCGCCCACACAGGGTCCTCTACGATCTTAAGACTGATGCCTTCTATGTGTATATAACAAATCCTCCAACTTTTGGAAAGTACAATTGGTCTAGGAAAAAGCAAAGATTGCAATACGTCTATTGTGAAGATCTTCACTTTATGGAGGGTGTTTACGCTCGATCCTTTACATTTGTAAATGATGCAATCATTTTTACAGCAGGTCCGAAAAAATCCTTGACATTTGCGAAGTTAGATGGTGTAAACGGAACCCCAAGGTTTCTTGGTCGCATTAATGTTGGATGGATGGGTCTTAAAACAGGGACTATGAACGATGTAATATACAAAGACAATTATTGGTATATTACTAGCAGTTATCCTTGTTCGTTGATTCGTGTGAAATCATTACGAAAAGGGCGTATTGAAATGCTGCACAAAAAACTTCAGCTTTGCCAAGCGGGAAAAAAAGGACCAGGTATTCGTGCTGATGGACGATGTAACCATTTGGGGACTCCATATTACTTGAGCTTTATCGATGGACGTATGATGATTCCTTTTCTGTTTGCTTGCAGTGGTATACTGTCTTTTGACCCTATCACAAAGTCAGCTACTGTGCTGTGGGGTTCTGGATGGACAGAAATACCTAATGATGTTGAAAGAAGAGGAACGGAGTGGTGATTTTGCAGAGGGATTCCAATTTTTTTTTTTTCTATTTTGCTATAATAATATTACTATTTGGGTTACTTTTTCATCTACATGGCTGCCTCCAATATGAGATGAGGGAATCATCGTATTTGAGTCAAACTGACTAATTGCTTGTTTTGTTTTCTTTTACGTTTTCGTGAACAGTAAATGGGTCTTGAAATGAGTGTGATTAATTTTTTGTAGGGAAAAAAAGGGATCTAGTTATACTTTGCCCCGTGATTTGTTTTGCCTTGTTCTGTTTTGCCTCACTGTCTTCACACTCTTGTTTTTTTTTTTTCTTGTGTGTGTGTGTATTTTTGTCACATCCGCTGAAGTGAGTAGCAGTGACTTCCAAAGCGAAGTAGTAGTCTCCAGAAGAACAGTAGAAAAGAAAGGAGACCAGAAAAAAAAAAAATAGAGAGCAAAAGGGGGAAAAAAAAACGGACCATTTAGCAGTGGTTCAAAAGGAATATAGGGAGATTCTTTGGGACTGCTCGGAAGTTCAACTTCTCTCAACTTGAAATTGCGATGGTTCGACGAAAGGTTATTATAGATACCGATTGTGGGGGTGATGATGCCATTGGAATCATGGCCGCCATGACGCACCCGGATGTAGAGGTTGTGGCTATTCTCGCAGTGTGGGGCAATGTGGACGTTGACCAGGGAATGGAGAATCTTGGGAAGTTGATGGACCTCTACGGACGTAATATTCCTTTCTTTCGCGGTGCAGCCGGTCCACTTGTGATAGAACGGGAAACAGTGCAGTGGGGTGGATTTGGCAAGGACGGCTTTGGTGATGCTGATTTCCCTTCCTCCCGTCGTGTAGCCGCGCAGTCAACCAAGCACGCTGCACTTGCTCTTGTGGATATTCTTAGAGAAGCAAATCCAGCAGAGGACGAGGTGTATCAACTAGTCTGTCTCGGCCCCCTCACTAACGTGGCACTTGCTATTCGTTTAGATCCCGATGCATTTTTTGTCTTAGGTTCAGACACAGTACCTTCCGTGACGGTTATGGGTGGTACTAGTGAAGGAAAGGGCAACTCTAATTTGATGGCGGAATTTAACTTTCACTGTGACCCAGAGGCAGCGTTTGTGTTATTTCAGCATAAGGGAATTCGACATCCCATACAACTGGTAAACTGGGAAGTTACTGTTAACTGTGCCATGTCATGGAGGTTTTACGATCAATGGGTAAGCCGGCGAGAGACAGACGAAGGAATAAAGTCAGTAAACCAAAATAAAACCCAACAATTTATTGAGAAACTTTTTCAGCGACTCGAAGCCTTTACGAGGCCTTATGAAGATGGTACAAAGGCTGACACTGGTGATGCGGAAGCAACACAGGATGTAACCTGCGTTATACCAGATGCTGTGGCAATGGTCGTTGCGTTGTACCCAGAAAGTGTGGAGGATAGCTTTCTTACATACGTAACCGTTGAACTCCAAGGACGGGAAACTCGTGGGGCGACATGTATTGATTGGTATGGCACAGAACAATCCATGTGCAAAAAGGGTCGCTGGCGCAATTGCCAGGTTATTACGTGCGTAGACAACGAAAAGTTTCTTCAAGTCATGCAGCACATCGTGGATTTTCCTCTACCATAGGTACTAACAAATGGAGTCTTTGCGCATTCTCTCAGTCACCACCCTTAACAAGGAATCCGAAAAATTCCTCAAAAAAAAAAAAAAAGAATGAAAAATTGGGTCTGAAACAGAAGGGAAGCCAAACGATTGTAGTTAGTGGAATTCAATTATGTGTCACGATGTTCGTTAAATGGGAAACTTTGACCAGAGCATTTTCTTCCTCCTTCATAGATGTGAAGGTTGAAATGGTTTAGTGGCCAAGCAACTCAAGATTTGTTTTTTGTTTTTTTTTTTTTTTTTTTCTTCTTTTTGTGGTCACATGTATGTTTCATTATTTCTCTCTTTCTGTATATGTGTCTCAGATTCTGCTCGCCACGGTTTTCTTTATATTATTTGGAGGGGCCAATTAGGAAAACGAAACCCTCTGGGTAGGTAGGAGGCAGTGGCTGCTGTCATTTACCACTTTCGTGCGGTCGGTTTCTGTTTTTTTTTTTTTCCTTTTCCTTTTCCGCCTGTGTGTGTGTGTGCGGTTTGTCTTTTTGTTTTTGTTCCCTGTACTAGTTGAAATAGGACCTTGCGGAGTTGGACTGTTTGATATCTGTTTTTTTTTTTTATTTAATTCGGAGAGAAGGAAGGAAGGGAAAGGAAGGGAAGGTGCTCATGATGTTGCTTTTTTTTTTTTTTTCTCCTCCTACACCGTACCCTCTCCTGATATTCGTGGAGATTTTTTTTTTTCTTCTTCCATGTGTGTTTGTTGTTGCATGGACGTTTTTCTCTTTATTTGATTGTATGGAAAAGAGATATAACAATCTTTTCATTAAAGCCCTGTAAATAAAATGAGAGATATTAAGGTGTTGTATTTACTTGCAGAACGGCACTTTCATGGACTTGAAGCTAAAGTGGAAAAATAAAAGAAACGTTATTAATGGTAACCCTCTCTTTGACTATGTTGTCCCTTTGTACTCTTTGTTGTTCTTGTTCTTTTTCTTGGTTTCTGATGCCTTTTTTTTGTTCTTTTCCTCTATCTATCTTACTTCGTCATTGCTGAGCACGACGTGCGAAAGAACTCAAGGGTATAAAAAGGAGAACGGGGAGAAAAAAAAGAAAAGAGGTTTCTGACCAGGTTAAATTGAGCTTCGCACAGCGGACAAAAAGAGAGGAAGGAAGGAATAGGCCCTATTACGCAGTTCTACATTCTCTTCTATACCTCTCAATCTTCCTTGTTACCGTTGACTACCCATCCTTCTCTTTGGGAACGTAAATATTATATATATATATATATATAATTTAGTGTCCTTCCGCACCCTCGCCTTCTCCTTCTATCATCATCTGTTCCGATGTCTATGTTTGAGGCGCGGCAGAAGGTGTACGCCACTCTGCATGGCACCTTTCACGCAGCCATCGTGCAGGAAGTTGCCCTCGACGCGGAGAGCGGGCAGTATCTCTACTACGTCCACTATGTTGAACAGGACAGTCGCATGGACTGTTGGCTCCCCGCCAGTGAACTCAAGGAACGCCGGCAGGGGCGCCAGACAAGCAAACAACAGGCAACCAAGCCCAGCGGCGGCGGCATCACTACACGAGGCCAGAGCCGCATGGTCGCTGAACAGGAAGAGGAGACACCGAGAAGTCCAGCAACACCAGCCTCATCGGCAAAGCGGAGTAACTTGCAGAATTGCGTAAAAGTCTCTACTACACGGGCACGAAAGGACAGTTCGTTCTTTTGCCGTGCAAAGAATATTCACACAATTTACATGGGTCCCTATGAGGTGGACACATGGTATTTTTCACCATACCACCTGGCCCGACCCCAGGTACGACAAGCTCTTAAACAGAACGCAGAACTTTTTGCAGGTGACAAGGAACTTCAACTGCGTCGAGGAGACAACACCAGCGCATTTCAAACTACTGTGGCTCTAACATCATTTGTATTGCATATTTGTCCCTTCTGCCTACATCCATTTTCAGCACATGAGGATGTGGTACGTCACCTGCGGCTCGTTTGTTCACGGCATCCCCCAGGAAATGAGATTTACCGGGATCCTATACGACAACTTGTAGTTCTTGAGATGGATGCTGTGGTTGAGCCTGTTTTCTGCGAACATTTAGCTCTCTTGTCAAAATTATTCCTTGAACATAAGGCACTAGATCACGATATGACTCCTTTTCTATTTTATGTGTTGTGTGCTGTGCAACCGCATGGACTGGAAGTTCTTGGGTACTTTAGCAAGGAGAAACAGTCACCGGAGATGTACAATCTTTCTTGTATCCTTGTATTACCACAGTTTCAGAGCCGTGGAATTGGACGATTTCTTATTGAGCTGAGTTACGAGTTGTCGCGTCGTGAGGGAAAAATTGGATCACCAGAGAAACCATTGAGTGATTTGGGTGAAAAACTCTATTTAGGCTACTGGGGTGATACCATCGTCTCCGCCCTTGCACGTGCTATTGAAGAGAGTCACTGTGTTACACTCGACTACCTTGTACAGGCTACATTTATGTCACAGGCAGATGTTGTGCGAACGTTGCAGTATCTAAAGCTACTTAATGGAACTCAGATTGTTGTCTCGGAGGAAAGTATTGAGAGATGTTACTCCAAGCGATTGCATCGCGAGCGGAGTGGACAAAATTACATTTTCTACCCACATTTGCTGAGTTGGAATCCACACATGTACTATGAGATGAAAGAGCAGGATGTCCCACCTCCTATCTACGTCACCCGAAGTGAGATGAAAGAAAAGGATGGGGATAGTGCCGTCAAGCGACAACGTATTCGTTAGTTACATGCGTCTTTGTTTGGTTTGGTCTTTTTATTTCTCTCTGCGTGTGTCTGCGCGTTGTGTTTTCTCTATTGCTTCTACTCCCATCTTTTTTTTTTTTTTTTGTTTTGTGGAGGAGGACATCCTTGCAAACGATGAGAATGGATTGGCGCCTCATGTTTCGTGAAGAAAAAAAAAAGTACAAGTATCAGCCAAAAGCAATGAGAAAGGGAAAGAAAGAAAAGAAAATGCTCAGTTGAGCGAGTACAGATTGTGGTGCTCGCTCTTAACGTGAAATCATTATACAACTATTATATACTTGTGTATACCGCAGTGAATATGTGTGTCTGTGTGTCTGTGATCCGTTTCTCTCTTTGATAATGTGTATCATCTTTTTTTTTTTTTTTTCAACCCTTCCTTCACAATCATTACTCTTTTATTTTTTTTTTATTATTATTTTATCTTTCCTATTACCTTTCTGTAGAAGGTAGAATGCGACGTGTCATATTTTCCTTTCCAGTTCACTACCGTGCGCTTGTGTCGGTTCGCAGCTGTGCGACTAAAGCAAGCAAGGATCCCAAATTGGATGATCTTGCCAATGCATATTCGCAGCTAACACTTAAGGAGCTCTCGGAGCTGCAGCGACTCATTTTCAAGAAACTCGGCCACAGTGATGAGTTCTATGAAAAGGCTCTTCTGCGCGGTCTTGGCGGTGGGGGCGGTGGTGTTATGATGGCAGCCCCCGCCGCAGTGGCTGCAGCCCCGGGTGCGGCCGCCGCAGCTGCGGGAGGAGCAGAGGAGGCGCCAAAGGCTGAGAAGAAGAAGGTAGAGAAGAGTACTTATGATGTGAAGCTGGCCAAATTTACGCCAGACATCAAGGTGAAGCTCATTAAAGAGCTTAGATCTGTTACAAATCTTTCCATCTCAGATGCAAAGGGCGCTATTGAAAAATGTCCGGGTCTTGTGCAGACGAATATGCGGAAGGAAGATGCCGAAAAACTCAAAGCTCTCTTTGAGAAACTAGGTGCTACCGTCGAACTATTATAATATATTCTCTTTCGGTGGTTCGATTACAGTTTAGCGGAATTTGCAAGAGAAAATTTGAGGGAAATAAGAGGCGAAAGGGGAAAAAAAGAGAGAGATGAAAAAAAAAAAAGTATTGATAAGAAATGAAGTTTTTTTTTTTTTTTTTTTCTCTCTCTTTGGTTTTGGTCAAGTGGAACCTTGGTGTTTTCTCCGCTCTCACATCTACACATGTATGTGTGCACAGACCACCCAGAGTGTGATTAAGTCTGTTTTTTTTTTTTTTTCTTATTGTAACAACTGTGAAAATGAAAAAAAAAATATATGTATAATCACAACCGTAACCAAGTTTTTTTTTGTATTATGAGCGTTTTTTGTTTTTTTTTGTTTTTGTTTTTCGTTCTTCTTTTTTTTGCTCATGATTATGATGGTACAGTCAAAGGGGTAGGAAAGTGAGGGAAGGCGGGGACAAATAAGAAAGAAAACAAAGACAGTACCAAAACAAATAAATTAAAAAAAAAAAAGAAAGAAAGAGTAAGGGGTGGGGTGGCTTTATCACCATCTCTCTTTCTCTCTATATATCTATCTATTCTTACGCATTAACAATGCGGCATTACAATGTACGTGAGATTAACGGCCGGCGTGTAAACCCTGACGACGGCACGCTGGAGTATTGTGTGCGGTGGGACGGCTACGACAGTCTCTGCGACACGTGGGAGCCACGCAGTAATCTTGCCGTAACTTGCGCTGGGCCGATTACGGATATCGACACCCATGCACATCACACCGCCCTGCAGCGAATAGCTTTGTGGGCCAACAATCGTCGAGCAACAAAGCACGGAAGGAATGATAACGACAACAATAACAAGAACGATAATGATGATGATAATACAACAGACACACCGCCACTGCACGGCATTGTTGTACATACTGGTAGTAGTGGTAATAGTGAAGAGACATCGCTTGTGGGATTGGGCGAGTGGGTTCTCACAGGTGGGGCCTCTCGTGGACTGAATCCCACAAAGAAGAAGAAAGCACCGGGTCCACAAGAATACGAACCCTCCTGTGATCCCGCTCTTTCGCTGGAAAAGAAATGGCGTGACCAGCACGCTATTAGTTTCATGCATACTTGTGCTGTTGCCACTTGCCGTACACCAGCTGCGTTGGAGTTTGAGTTGGGCTCCGGTGTGGATGCGTGTCATGACGCGTCTAGTATAGAGATTCACGGTATCGCACCCGCTATACTTGTGAAGAGTGGACAGGCGTACAGCAGCGTGGCGAGTTGCACGCCGCTGATTGGACGTGAGGAGGCTGAACATCTACGCAGTCAATGCAACTTTAGCCCGGCCCTCGCACGCACTACTCAAGAGCTCATTCGAGGGAAGCGGGATCGTCTCGTGGTGCGGTATTTTATTGGTGAGGGAGATGGTGAACACGACAGAACACTCTACACTATGCCGTTATCTGTCTTTCGTCGCTTTTATCCACAGTTGTTGCTGGATTATCTTCTTCGTCACACATTAGTTATGGAGTCTCCGTAATGGGAAAGTTACCTCCCAACAACAACAACAACAACAACAAGAAGAAGAAGGTTCTGTACTATCTCGCTATAGAGTTGTCGATTTCATTGACATTGATGATGTTTCTCTTGATGATATTGATTTTGAAGCACATATTTGACCAAGTTATTATGTAGATTTATTTCTCTAACTATGATTTTATTAATTTCTTTTGCTTTTTTCTTTTCTTTTTTTTTCCATTTTTTGTATGATTTCTAATTTTAATTAATTTATTTATTTACTTTAGTAGAACAATAATAGTAAAAATTAAAATAAAAGGAAACGATACGAAGGGGTTTCCCAAAGTTGTGGTTCTTTTGCATTTCTGAGAATGCCACAGTTACTTACATTTGACCATGGTGTCCGATCACGCGGTGATGGCTTTATCAAGACCCCATCGTCTGGGATGTGGCAGTGTACACTCCTGCTTGATCGAATCTTGCAGGAAGAAAAAGAAAACAATAACACAATTTATAGGGCGGATGAGAAAATTATTCAGAATATGGATCGTCAACAGTTGTTGATGCTGCAAAATCCAAAAAAGTCTGCCACTATTTTACCGGGTCACTTCCATCCATTTCCCCGACAGTTTCAACTTATCTCCACCAGTAGCAGGTATCTTTGCAGCATTCTTGTTGCAGAGCGTTCACACACAGCAAATGATATTCAAATTATTTCTCTACAAAAAATATCAGCAAAGATTAAGCTCTCTGAAGGTGTAGGTGTTGTCTTTGCATCTGCAGCGGAGGGAAGCTGGGCAGACATACTTTCGTTTATGCACCAATCACCCATGTGCCTTATTGATGAAGTAAGTCGGGTAGCAGTATGGAAACTGGAATGGGAATCCCCATATGAAAATGGTATTGATCTCAGCAGTGTTTTCTTTTGGCGAGTTACATCATCATTACCAATTTTTGAAAAAGTAGAATGTGCCTTTGGGAAGGAAGAAATGGTATACATTGCGGTGGGTAAAGCGAGAGGCGCCTTACACACACCACCAGACCGCAAACTTTTAAAACCAATGGATCCACCACCGCTACTTCCAAAGCCACCACGAGAGGAGAGTCTGCGAGATACACTTGGGCAACGAAATTTATCAACAGAGTTTATAGAGGCCCAAGGAAGTCATGTGGATGTGAGAGAAAAAGAAAGTGAAGAAGTGTCAAGAGTAACCGCAACAGTAACTGCAGTGGAGGTAGCACAACTCCAAGAAAGTAAAGTGCGACCACCGACTTATGCGGAGATTCTCATGAAAAATGCACGGGTACAAAGACGCGAAAAGAAGATTCCAAATGATCCTTTGTATGATTGGTGTCAGCGTCTTTTTAAACTCAGGGATGAGTTCCCATGTGATATCTGCAGTGATGCAGCCCTGCAATTCGCAAAGGGTCATGTTTCGCAGCAACACCAACAACAACGACAAAAACAACAACCGCAGCAGTTGCAGAAACGTGATACAGGTAATGGTGGATCCATTGATACACTGATGATGGCCACTCTGAAAGAATTTCTGTGTGATGTGTTACTTGAGATTTCATGGTGTCAAGTGTTGAAACAACGTGATGGACGTGATATTACAGTACTACTACAGGAGTGTACAGAGACAGCTGAAGTGGTTGGAAAGGAATTGCAAAATTGGTCAAGTAGCTCGATAATGCTGCAGTTTCCATGTCGTATTCAACAACTACGTCTTGTTCGCCACAGATGCTTTGCGTTGGTACTACTTGGACAGCCAGTGGGTCCTGCTTTACTGCAAGAGGCACTGCGATTGAGCAAACGACTATTGGGGTTACTGCGTGATTTACCACAGGAGGAACGTGATTTCTCTGTTCGTGCCGATCACACCAGCACGGGACAAGTTGTCTGTGGTGTGTTGAGTGCAGCTCTTGCGTTGATGGAGGTATCGTTGCTTGTACAGAGAAGTGGGGCACTGCGGGATGATATGACGTGTATCGCCGGATTGTTGCTGTTGTGGCTTCGTGATGCAACGACAAATTCAACGAACGTTTTTACACTTCCGGCTGCACTGCTTGCACGTGTGAGTGAGGCTGCTGCTGCAAAGAGTGGCGGTCGTTTGAATGGACTGCTGCGGCGTTGTGAAGATGTTGGCTGTTTAAATGGACTGCAGTCCAACAGTGAGAGCGGGAGCGGGACGGCGGGTCTCTGCTGCGGGATTGTGAGGCCCGCGTGGTGCAGTGCCGTGTTTGATCAACGGTTTGCACGAGCGTTGGCACTTGTCAGACGGTGTGAATCTCCAATAACAACAACAATAACAGTAGCGGCGAAACGGAAAGAGAGAAATTATAAGAAAGAATGAATTCTTTTCTCATTCTTAAGGCGTTTTGTCTAACCGCAACATGACACGAGAAAATATTCCTTTCCTCAGATCCAGAGAGTTAACTCACAGAGAAAAGTGAGATGCTCAGTTCTTTGATGCTTTATAGATGGATGGATACGTAAGATCAGATTACTACTTTTTCATATTTTTTTTTTTCAGTATAAATGATAATGATTATTATTATTTTTTTTTGTTTTTTGTTTTTTGTTTTCTTACGGGCACGGATTTCAGATTATGAGAATGATAATGATGATAAGATGTTTACAGTAGTAGCATTGGATAATGGTTTTTTTTTTTTTTTTATTTTTTTTTTTATTATTCTTTGTTGTTTGTTCTTTTCTTATTCGCTGAACCCATGTCTCTGTTTATCTATTTCCCCATGATGAGTTACTGGTAACAAACTTCTTGCATATATATATATATATATATATATATATATATACACATACACATTTTTTCCCCCTCTCTCTCTCTCTCTCTTCTCTGAGCACATAGCTATCTCGTTCCCACTAAATAAAACAAGAAGCGAACTAACACTAAATCTAAAAAAAAGAAAACATGACGGACGCCATTGACGTGACAACATACAGCGACGACAAGTGCCTTGGGCAACCCGCCCCGTCCCTCGCCGCCCTCGAGCCCATCCGCGGCGGCAGCGTGGCGATTGAGGCCGGCAAGGTGTACGTGCTGTACTTCTTCAACACCTTCTACCGTGGGGCGGACCCCGTCAACGAGGAGCTCACGGTGCTCTCAGAGAAGTATGGCGATCGCGTCGTGTTTGTTGCCATCAGCAACGACGCCGATAAGGAAAAGACGGAGAAGTACCTCGGAAAGAACATCGTTGATGAGAACACCAAGAAGCCACTCCGTCTCGCCCCACCCCACATTCTCTTTGATGATAAGAAGGCAACCGGCAAGGCCTACGCCACAGTGGCGAATCTCTCCGTCATGTCGTGCCCAATGGCCTTTATCGTGAAGGCCGACGGCACCATCGCGTGGCGCCAGCAATTCCTGCAGACATTCACTATCACGCAGTCGAACTTCGAGGCGCAGCTGCAGCACGTGCTCGCTGGTGAGGAACTCGAGAGCAACGGACCGCGTCCCGCCGTCCAGATTGAAGAGGAGGCCGCGGAGGTCGAGGATGAGATGTCACTTTTCTAAATTTTGAATAACACCTAAGAAAACAAGGAAAGAAATCTAAAGGTAGGAGAAGTGGATACGTTTTAAGAAAAAAAAAAAAAAGGTGAAAAAGAAACGATAAGGTAAAATAAGAAAAAAAAAAGAGGAAAGAAGAAAAGGGGGAAAAAAAGAGAGAAACAATATATATATATATATATATTTATATGTATTACTGAAAATGAGAGTAAGAAGAGAATACCCACCTTTGTCTGTTTGGGGGTGCGAAGGATCCGATAGGAATTAAGGAATGGATAATCCAAACAAGATAACTAAAGTGGTAGGAGATCAGAAAAGAGATGTAATAAAAGAAACAAGTCAAATTTTACAATGATTGGACGCGAATTAAAAAGACATAATAAAAAAAAAAAAAATGGAGGTTGTAGTAGTGACTGCTTCTCTTGTGCGTTTCATTACTCCCTATTTCGTTGTCTCTCTTTATTCTCGTACTTCTCTATCCTTTAAAACATCCGCTGGGTGAAGTGGGTTGTTCGGCAAGCTTCACTTAAGTCATACCCACCTTACCTTCTTGAAGAATATGAAGGGGAAGCTTCTGTATACATAAATAAATACAACGACATATATTCTTTCATCTCCTTTTTCTCTTTTTTTTTTT